ACCCTAAACCCGCCTACGTGGTGCCACAACAAATCAGGATTCCCATTTAATTTATTTTATTTTCAAAACTAGCCTTTTATGAAAAAATTTTACTTTTATGAAGAGTTGTCCGTTTTATGAAAAATTGTGTCTTTTATGAAATGTTGTAACCTATCTGAAGGGTTGTAACTTTTCCAAAGAGTTATAACTTTACAGAAAAGTTGTGAATTTTATGAAAAGTTATGACTTTTATGAAGAGTTATGACTTTTATGAACAATTGTGACTTTTATGAAAGTTTTGACCTTTACGAAGAGTTGCAACTCTTTTATATAATTTTAACTTTAATTTTGTCATGATCATTTGTAGGCTGCAAATTTTGTTTGATAGTAACTTATGATTTGAGAATGGTGAAAATCATAATTGCAGATTCTTGAATGCAGAACAAGATAAAGAATAAGGACATGCAAAGCGACAAAAATCATTGTACATGAGGCAAGTCCTGAAGGAATCAAAATTGTTTGCATTCCGAATACACTTTCCATTTTCTTACACTTCGACTACAATTAATTTGATTTGTATGGGCAAGTGTAGTATTTTGTCTTGATTTCTTCACTCCTTTTATTGATTTGAACTGATGGTGTATCAAAAACAACTTTCCTATCCTCCAAGATAGGAGTAGGCTCTGTATCCACACTATTTTTCTCATACCTCACATGTGAGATTACAATGAAATAATCATTTGTATGTGGAACCAGGACCAAAACTAATACGATTAAATGATAATCTACGTCTCATTATCATTTATATTTAGGGGGAATATAAGGTTCTCGGACTCTTGTAGTTTGCTAAACTAATACAGCTGGTTGTTTAAGTTTAACCAGGACCAAAACTAATACAATTGAGTTCTTGGATAGAACTAATGCCACATTGACAAATAAAAGCACAAAAGTACTATATTAGGTAGATTTCAAGGCCGAAACACACAAGCATTATGAAATCGACAATTACATCTAAGAACTATACATACTCACAGAAGAAACTACGAAATCTCAACTGCCTCAACAAACTACTAGCGCCTCCAATTTAAATTTAGAAACTTACTAATGGATTATGTTATATTATGAGTTATGACTTTCAAGAAAAATACTCGTTAACCTTCACCATATTTGGTTATTTTAAATTGTTGAAATCACCTATAAGGTGTTCTGCATTAGATGTGGGAAAGAACCTTGGGTGACTTTCTGAGAGACGCAAAATGGAAGAAAGTTGAAATTTTGTTTACAGTAAGTAGGTTTTAGTTCATAGACGTGGGTCTATTTAGATTGGATTACTCCAACCTGCAAATCCCGCGCCGGCCTAAAAATAAATATTGTAATAACCAGCAACCACCAGCCCCAGCCCTCCCCACCCCGCATTTATATTTCCCCACACCCGCCCTGCATTGCCCTAACTCGCCCCTCTACAACCCATTGCCATCCGATTTTACAGCTTGTCATCCTGTGCATCAAGAATGCATGCATCAAGACTGCACGATTTCTGTAGACTGTAATATTGATGCATTCTCCTTTTTTGCCTGGCTGATTTATGGAGAGTGGCACATAACCTCATATTCTCATACAAGGTATACAAAAAAAGACATTGTTCTGCAAACACACCAAACTTTCAGAATTATATCATCTCTGATTTCTGATTTTTCTT